ATTGTTTTTACAGGTGCATGCATTTCACTGTGCTTTGTTTAAGCATTAATTGAAGTAGCTGTTGCCTTTGCAGGAATGGAATGCTCCGAAACCAAGGCACTTGCCTTTAGTTGAGGTCGCTTTACATCGTAAAACTGTTAGTATTCTTTTGGGTTGATTTTTCCTTGGAATTGTTTAAATAAATTTGGTGAAAAGACTTCAAATTTTAAGATTCTGTTTTTGAGAACATTTTTCCATTTCAGTCTTTTAAACAACAGTCCGATCTCTGGTCTCCCTTGCCAAATCAAGGATGGAAACCGTGTATCGACTCTGCAAATATCCCGCGTAAGTTTTTAGAAATTCAGGTGTAGAAGGTTTATATTAGTAATTATGTTTTGAGAATCTTGGATTTGGTCATGAAGTGGATCTCTAAAATGAATCAGATGGTAATTTTTTATTCCTGATAAGCTTATTTTCACTTCTTGAAGTATTGCCAGAGAAATCTCAGGGGTATATTCAGGTATTCCTTGATGGAGGATTGAACCAGCAAAGAATGGGGGTGAGTTCATGAATCCTTAATGCATGTCTTTGTACTTTGACTTTGATGCATTAATTCTTGGACTGCTTTTATGTTTTTTTGATACCAAGATATGTGATGCGGTTGCCGTAGCTAAAATATTGAATGCGACACTGGTGATACCACACCTTGAAGTGAATCCTGTTTGGCAAGATTCAAGGTATTTCATGATTAAGATATCTGTACAACCTGTATTAGTTTCTGTCTTTTTATTCTAAGAAGGAGACATATGTGAATTCGGTTTGCTTTTGCAGTTCATTCACTGATATATTTGATGTGGATCACTTTATTAATGTCCTCCGTGATGAAGTTTCTATAGTTAAAGAGCTGCCAAGAGAATACTCTTGGAGCACACGGGAATATTATGCTACAGGTATAAGAGCTACCAGAATCAAAACAGCACCTGTTCACGCTTCAGCGAACTGGTATCTAGAAAATGTGTTGCCTGTCTTGCAAAGGTAAAGGTTTAAACAACAAATGTCACTTTCTTGATAAATTAATACCATTTTCAACCCTTATGTCAGATGTCCACTTGGTGAACAAATAGTCCTGGAAATCTGTATGCTGTGTGTGTACCTCAACTACTTCAAAAAGCATAATATTTATGATTGTTTATACATCTTTTTGGATGCAGTTATGGGATTGCTGCTATTTCACCATTCTCTCATCGCCTAGCGTTTGACAAGTTGCCAATGAAAATTCAGCACTTACGTTGTAAAGTAAACTTCCAAGCTTTAGTTTTTGTTCCTCAGATCAGATCAATAGGAAAGACTCTTGTTCATCGACTCCGTTATCCTTCTGGGAAACTTCAAGCATCAGCAGTTGACGTCCTACGAGGGAGAATTGATGATACTGAGAAAGAGGGAGCTGGAAAGTATGTTGTATTACATCTTCGCTTTGACAAAGTATGTACCCAACTCTTTCAAATGATTGTGTAAACTAATTGGTGTTCTAATTTGTTGTGTTTCTGGAGCCTCTGGGCTAAAAGTAGAAGATGATGCTCAGTCCCTTTATAATCGAAAAGAATGAACTCTGGTTAAATACTTTCTGGAGGGATTGGTGCACATTGAAGTACGCAGGATACATCTAAACATCAAAAACACCCCTACGTGTATACTTCCAGTGCCCTATGTGGTAGTTTCTGGGTAAAAGCACCAGTTTGTCTGTTGTTTACTACACCATCTCTTTGATATGTATTGAGCCTTTTGGTTCCTTAGCTATTGGTTGTACTGTGTTCTTATCAGAAAATACATATTGGTTTTACTGCAATTACCTTTCTAATCAGACCTTGTGCAGGATATGGCTGCTCATTCAGCTTGTGATTTTGGTGGAGGGAAAGCTGAGAAACTGGCCCTAGCTAACTACCGCCAAGTTTTATGGCAGGGAAGGGTCTTAAACTCTCAATTTACTGACAAGGAGTTGAGAAATCAGGGCCGCTGCCCATTGACTCCGGAGGAGATTGGATTGCTGCTAGCAGCTTTGGGCTTCGACAATAGTACTCGACTTTATCTTGCTTCACACAAGGTCCATTTTAATCCTTCTTTATTGATAGTGTAAGGTGTTTATTATTGTCTGGGCTTGCAAGTTGGAGGTCCATGTGAGACTTCTTATATTTACATCAGAAAGCTTTTGTTTTCAGTGGGACTCAAATATTTGAAAGGTTCATTTTTCCCTTTTTTTAGGTTTATGGAGGAGAGGCAAGGATCTCAACATTGCGTAAACTGTTTCCGCTAATGGAAGATAAGAAGAGCCTTGCTTTGGTGAAGGAGCTAGCTGAGATTGAAGGCAAGGCTTCTTTGTTGGCTGCAGTAGATTATTACGTGAGTCTGCAAAGCGACATCTTCATCTCTGCTTCTCCTGGAAACATGCACAATGCTCTGGTAAGAATCTTCCTTTCAAGTTCCCTTGCAAAGATATAGCATTTTATTATTTTGAGTATCAAGTGTAAAAATTCAATATATCATGTAGAAGAAATTTTGTAAACGAGAGTTTACATCCCTTTTCAGGTTGGACATCGAGCTTACTTGAACTTGAAGACCATAAGACCAAACATGTTACTATTGGGCCCGCTGTTCCTGAACAAGAGCATGGAGTGGTCTGAGTTTCAGCATGCAGTTATCAACGGCCATAAAAATAGACAAGGGCAAATGAGGTTAAGAAAGGAGAAACAATCCATATATACGTATCCTGCTCCAGATTGCATGTGTCGACCTTAACTTCATAATTACCATGATATGAAGCTATTCTTATGTTTGCCAATATTGTGATATTCCAATGAGATATATTCAGCATTTTGTTAGCTCAGATCAGTTTGATGGCATTGAAAGTTAACATGTGTTATCCATGTCTGCTTTGCACACTTGCTCAGAGAGGGTCGAGAAACTGATAACATTCAAGGATGCCATTGATACAGAAGAAAGCAAACTTCTTGAGCGGAGTGGAACTGTGAAGTTAGGGAATCAAAGAGTGCCAATAAGCACCCAGAAGATCCTGTTGACTTTTTTACTTTTAAAAGGTTACTTAAGATTTATAATTATAATTATATCAACACAGGCCAAATCGAAACATGAATTAGTCTTTGGTCGCTTCGGCTAGCCTACTTTCGAACCATTGCATCTTACCTACTCGACTCATCTTTCTCCTTCAGTCCAGCTACATGCCTCCGTTAATACGAAATGATACACTGCATAATGGGCGAGAAATTTTCCCTCCCAGTGAAGCCTGCTTCATATTAAAACTTCAGCCTTTACATAAATTATTCAACCACATTATTTATCCTTTTTTTCTTTTAATATTAAAAAAATTAATCAACGAAATTTTCCTAAACCATCAAACCGGGATAAATGGGAAATAGTTATCCGAAAAAGGGAAAAGGAAAAAGAAGAAAAGATAAATGGGAAGAATCAGTCGGCATTTTTATTATTTTTCCCCCTATTTAGTCCATTAGAATTGGCCCAAGAATTTTGAATCCAACCATTATTTACAAGCACAGGATTACCAATCAATACATAATGCCAGCTTCAAAAACACAGCTGCGCATTACCAATCATAGCATTGCAAGTTTATAAACAGCATGCGGAGGGAATTGTGCATCAAACTAATTGTTTTGGGTGCCACCGTGAACTACTGGCATCTGACCATCTTTCTTGTCCTTGCCCACCAGATGAGACCCACTTCCACTCTGGTGAGCACCCAATTCCTTCGACTCCGTGGACAAAGTGGACGGAGCTATTTCTTCCTCAATTGGAAGGGTTAGTTTTGAGCCCTCCAGAGCAACACCAAGAACAATGTTCTCTTCCAAGGAAGGCCTGGCTACTGATGGCAGCGCAACGCACCTGTCAACATCCTGCGTTGCCTGTGAAACGGCCAATGGGATTTCAGATTCTACATTTGCAGATTGTGGGTTTGCAACTAGAGACTTCTCAGTGATCATCTCCTTTCCTGTGCTCGCCACCTTCCGAGTTTCTCCTCTGCTCTGTTTGAACTGCTTTTCAGAGTTGACTTCAACTGAACCATCAAGCACCTGATTCCCAGTTTGGGCCTCAGATGATGTCACTTTTGAACCTGAACTGGAATTACTAAGTGATGGTGACGTAGCCTTATCTACCTTGGAGTCAATAATAGATGTTGGTCCAGACAAAGTATTTGCCTTAGAGTCAGATGTTGAGGTTGCTTCCTCCATGGAATCATTTTCTTCATTTGCACGTGTTGAAGATTTGACTTTGTCATCACCACTGATTTTATAAGAGGGTTCAATGAGGAGAAGTGGACGGTTAGTAGCTACTCCAGAACGTCTAAAAATGGTATCAGCAAATGGTCCATCTTCTACTTCAGCCTCGCTGTACATTTTCTGAACTGTGCGGATAGGGGTTGCAAGCCGGGCCCGATGATGGCTAATAACTCTGAGAAGATCCAAGAGTATGGCTTCCTGTTCCAATACTATCATTAGGCACAAAGAGAACACAGCCTTTTTACTTGCAAACATATGGTGTCTATGCGGCATGCATGTATGTAGATATCACTATACATAAGCAGAGACACCAGCAAAAAGCATGGTGTCACACCCACATAACACCAGCAAATTATGCTAAATCTGGTCACCAGCATCCTAAATAAAACCCAAGGATTCACTATCTCTAACCAATCAAAGATGTCAAAGCTTCTTCAGTAACATTCTTCCAGTAATACTTTTGATCAGTAGGATGCCAAAGTAGCAGGTGCCAATCAACAATACCATGATACACTACTAAATAAAACCAACAGATTATATACTAAAAACCACAATTGAGAGATTGAAAACATTATTTTTTTCATCTTGAGATTCTAAGTCACCACTTCGTATTATAACAGCATGTCTTTGCATGAAGCACTGAGTAAGAATGGACTAACCTTAACACAGAGGTACTCTTCAACATGTGAGGTTTTCACAAAACAAGATACCAAAATCTGAAACAATATGAACAAATAAAAAAGAGATTAAAAACTTCAAACAGAAGTAATTGCCAATACTCAAAAAGAAAGAGTTAACAGCCACAAAAGTTTAGGCTAAAACTTTGCATTTTGTTCGTACATCATTTACATAGATGCAAGAAATTAAGACAAAATGAACTAATGGGCTAAGATGCGTGGCCACCAGACCAATATAGAGTCTAACAACTCCTTTTGTGATTCAATAAAAATCTGAAAACATTAGAGCTACTCTCCTTTGATCATTATTTTATTTTAGTATTATGCACACTACAGCTCAAATTAAAATTCATGGGCCAAAAAGAATTATCAGAAAATATTTAGGAAACACCACATCATAGTATTCTAAAGGAAAAGCAATCAAATGAAAGAAAACTAAAAATGCTTGACATTACTTCAACTGATGTTTTAAGGGAAAAAAGATGCCAAAAGAAAAAAATCTCACCATAAGAGCCTGGTTTTCTGGATTGATACTTTCCAAAAATACTCTTCTGTGCAATCTTTGCTGCTCTACTTGAGGATTTTTGGCTAAAACCTTCCGCATATCAGCTACTATATTCTGCATGGTAAAAAGACATAGCACAGCTTCTGGCATGAGCTATAGAAAGAAAACAAGCTGGTCCTTACTTGACAAGTTAACAGCAAGACAAACTGAAACTCCTTACATTTATCTTGTCAACATCCAAGTGACTAATGGCAAAATAATTCTTGATGCGCCAATGGGTTTTCTGGCTAAGATTCCTCACAACATTCACTGTAAACTTGTGGTTTGGAATGTGAACTGCCTCGCGGTCATCACCTCTTATAATTGTTGGTGACCACCATCCAACATGCTAAACAGTAAACACAAGCAAACAAGTTGTTCAATCTCTCAGATTGCTTAAAGGAGGCAAATAGAGCAAAGTAAGCACAAACCTCAACTGTCCCTGAAACTTCATAGCCTTCAATATTAGTTTGAATCCATTCATTGAGAACAAATGGCCTTGTTGCATGGATCATTACACTTGATAGAAAATTTGTAAAAATCTGAATGCACAAAACATATGATTAAGTCCAGAAGGGATCTAAAAAAGCTTCCCAGCAAAGAACTTGATAAGAGTACAGATAAGGATGATATGAAATGTGCTATGAACAAAAGCAGAACATAGTAATTGCATGCTTAACAAACAATGCCAGAGGTGAGTGAACATGAGATGGTGAATGCACCAAAGAAACAATAAGTCAAGACAAAGTCAGACGACCTTTACTATCAAAGCTCCTGATTAAGATGCATACAAGGATGATGCAGAATGTGCTCCAAACAGGAACGCCAAAGACTTTAATCTAACATCCTATGCACATTTATATTATTATATATACTATGCTATGTAGGAATATCTCAACAATTTTTTTAGAAAGGAACAACCATGCAAGAGGAAGAATCATGGCTCTGAGAATATTAAATTATTTAGGATAATTCGGCCAAGATAGTTCCAAACTTTCAGGCTAATATTCATGTAGCATTTGTATCATTTATAAATTACAACAATAAAGGCAATCAATTTACCTCACGACCAGCAAGGGTGATTAACACTGTGCCAAGTCCTCCAGCAGTTACCCACTTCTGTGTAGAAAACCCGAGCAACTCCATGAATAATGATACAGCAGCAACCCATAGAGCAGTATAAACAGCTTTTCCAGCAAAATCAAAGCCCATCTGTCAATAGAATAAACAACTGTTTTCAGGTTTGTCCATCGCAATCTGTCAGTGCCTTTAAGATAGCTATATTATTATTTCCACAAATCACAGGCCAGATGTTTAGAAAAAAAATCCAGGAAAACAAAAAAGCTAAAACATTTCCAAAAAAATGTTGAAGGCAGGGTATAAACGGTGAATGTCTTTGCAGTCAAAGAGCATAAAAATAATATAATCCTTCCTGCTGCCCTCAAATGAGGGACATTATTTACCATATGGTGGACACTGGAGAAATAATCATCAGGATTGACCTAAATTGCTAGCGTTAAGATCCACTGTTACCACCTCACTGCAACTTATAATCGATGCAGATGCTTCTAAGAGATTTAAGAAATTTGAATGATGTAAAAGTAACAGAACATACATTTCTTGCATCATTAGAGTCATTCATCTCCATAAAGAATTTTTGTGCCTGTTGAATCAAGCTGCAAGAAAAAAGCATGGTTGACCATTAAAGACATAGTTCAAACTCCTAAAACTAGACTTAACATGGGCAATCGACAAGCTATCTTAACAACATGCACAAGAAAGATGAAATGTTAAAACTTAAAAGGCACGCAGCAAATGCTTAAAATTAAGAATGTCAATCCCTGCAAACATAGAATATAGCCCCCTTTTCTGTTCTCTAAACAACCCCTTCCAGCCAAAAAGGAAAATGCAGATAAAAAATTATATCTAATGAAAAAAGAAATACCCAAAAATATATATATGTTATTATTCATTTGTTAAAAACATAAAAGAGTCAAAGCAGCCACATTAAACTCACCTTGACAAACAATAAGAAAAAGCTAGCACTGTCGATAATGATCGCACAAAATTCAAAAGTCGTTGCTTAACAGCCTGGCTTGCTTCTGAGGGTAAAACTACTGGATCTAATGCTCTGAAAGAAACTATGATATTTTTAGACCTACATCATAGCTGCAAAAATATGAAGATTGAATCTAATCCCTTTTGGGGGAGAAGTACACCTGCAGATGAGTGTCGCTCCAGTCCACATCAGCACAGGTCGAAGATAATAGCTAATAATATGATTTGTTCTACTTTTCTTCCAACTGCTATCACTCCTCTACAGAAAATTGCAAGGTAGTGAATCAATAAAGGAATTCTACCATCATAGAAGACAAGGGCATGTAGAATAGTATTAGTGTATACATGGAAAATGATAACCCTGCAAAGCCGTATAAGTGGCCCAAGTCCCCACGTGGCAAATGCAATAATCCCGACTGCTGGGATCAACCGGGGTACAATAAGGCCTCCATGTAAAGTAGCAAATGTCCTGATATATCCAAATAAAAAAATTAGTGGAAATTATATATTAAGGAACAAAATAGAAAAGATGTGTTAAGCTATCAAGAAAATAGCAATGAACTAGCCTCAATCCAGCAACCCCCCCACAGCCTCCAGGAAAAAAAGAAACATAAATTTGAATATAAAACTACAGTATATATATAGCATAATGAGTATTAGAGCTTCTCAAATAAACAACAAAATTGGGCAAATGCTTCTCAGACTAGAAACTTAGAGAGGAATGTTTTGCCACTGCAACTTAGCACCTTTAAATAAAAGAAAAAATTCCTATCCAAGCTACATAACTATTCTGCACTCTTCGACTTTAAAAACTTAGAAAACTAAAGCTGAAAAGGCTTCATTTTTAAATTAGAAAAGCCTCAAGCCTCCTTTCTGAAAAATAATGCACTAACAAGCAAGAAAAGGCCCCATCTAGTAGATCAGCTCAAGCATTCTTATAACATAAAAAACTAATGAATCTTGCTCTGGGACTTTGAAGTCTAAGGCTGGTGAGTTACTCATGATGTCCTTTATCTGTGAGGATTTACTCAAGGGAGTGATGGTGCGGAAGCCTGCAAATCTGAAATCTACTGCCTAAAAAACTTATAATTCCAATGTGACACATATATCTTACAAACTTTTGAATAATTAGCAATACTATTACCACAAAATAAAGGTGATTCAAAATCTACACAGAATTGAAAATACAAGTATCTGCTTTCAGTATTTAGACAGCATAAAGAAAAGACAAGCATACAAAAAGTAAGAAACAAATATAGTTCACCTTGACAAAACCATACTAGCAGATTTTAGGATAGGAATCTCATTTCCCCCAGTAGATGCTAGAATACATCGGCAGACATTGACATTAGACCTGGAAGATACAGGTCTTATTGGCATACAGACACTGCTCAAAAGATGAAGACTCCAAGCATCCTGTCGCTGGATATGAAACAAAAGAATTGTTCAAGTCTCCAGATTTATTCATAAATAACAATTTCTGAACATAGTTATCACATACACGTGAAAATGCAGAACACATTCACAGAAACCAACTCTCATGTTATGCTAAACTAGAAGAAGTAACTGAACAAATTGTAAATAGAGAGTGGTTATTTAGAATTCAATTAAAAGCAAAGTAGAACAAACATTGCTATGCCAGCAAACATGAGCCTCTGCATCCACCAAGGAAAAAGAAAACCATACCATAGCATGTGAGGAAGGATTGATATTAACCAAATGTAATCGGCCTTTTTCCATCACACCCTGTTGGTATTCACACATTCAGTTACAAATAGTTAAAGAAGAAAAGATGGGACAAATAACGGTTGAAAAATAAGATTACAGATCACATACAATATGCCGTCCACCGCATCCATGACTATTGCGAATTTTCAGTTCATGGGAAGATTGCATAGAAGCAACACGCATCATCCTTTCAAAAAGGGTCAAAATTCCTTTAGGAGGACGATATCCCCTTATACAGTTCAACTTCCTACTAACTTTTATATCTTAAAAACCCCCAAATAATCTATAAGTTTTTCAAACAAAATTAGCACCTGCCAAAAGAAAGAAAAAGAGAAATTAACAATTTAATTTCACAAAGAACTTAATTAACTGAAAGTCTGAAAGCAAATTAATTAAAATGTATAATTCAATGGATGATTAAATGGAAGCATAAGTTCAAATCCCTAGATCCCAGAATGCCTAAATATGACACAATAAAAAATCACACAAGACCAGAAAGTAAACATGTTTTCGTTCGGAATACGAAAAAGAATTGATGAAATAACAAACTAAATCGCTATAATAATCCCATTAAAGTAATCATGATCGCTTCAGATTATACCATCCAGAAAAACGAAAAATTAACTATTTTAAAAATAAATTGGTAAAACTTTGAAATAAGCAAATAAATATAAAAATTGTTACCGCGGAGACGAAACAGAACACAACTTCCTGGAGAGAGGTTTTTTTTTTTCTTTTGTGCTTTATATAATAGAGAATGGGATTTTTTGTCGAACGGAAGGAGACCAGAGTCCGAAGTGGCTGCGCTGGAGCTAACGTGCGCCGGGGGTTGATTTTTCTAGCGCCCGACGTGGTCTAATCAAATATCCATCGGCGAGTTTTGAAAATGTAAATTTCATCGTTAATAATAACAGTTAACTTATGCGGCGATTTGAGGTTGCCGTGGCGGAATTTTTATCCATTGGAACAATCCCCTTTCTTTCCTTCATTTGTTTCCGTGTCTGTCGGTTGTGCTTGTGAGGTTTGCCACGTCAGATGTGGTCCAGATAACAAGATTAAATTAAACGAAAAAAAGAAAATTCAAGCAACATTCCAAGAGAGGTCAGTTATCCTTTTTGCTAATTATTAGTAATTATTTAAGGTTCTTGTTTTTAACAAAAAATAATTAAAAATAACAAAAAAAATCAATTAAAAGTAGTCTAATTAAATTGCATCAACCTAACATGATATCGTGGAACTTAATTCGTTATTAATTAATCATGTATATAATATAGAATGACTTTTTCCATTCTTTTCAATTGTCGAATAAAAGTGTTTGAAAATTCCAAAGTAATAGATAATTAATTTAAGTTAATAATGTAAGTAAACCTTTTTCAATCTTAAATATACTATTTTTATTTCTTTTTAAAAAACCTTTTACAATCTTATTTTACATGTTTACTTTTATAATGTTTAATTTCTTTATTTAAAGAAGATAAATCCAAATTTAAAATAAATATATAAATTATCTAGTTAGAATTATAATACAATATTATTATCTAGTTTTTTTTTTATACTAGGGAATAAAGTAAAAATTAATTCCATCATTCTAGGTCAAGATATACCTAGATTATCTAGTTAAAATTAAATATTAAATTAAAGTTATATTACAATATTTTTAGTTAATTGAAATTACATTATAAATATATAATTTGGGTTTTGTTAATTAAAGAAAACCAAGTTGTGGATTTCTGCTAATAGATAAGCACACCAATCGCTTTTTTTTAAAAAAAAAAAAACAGATAAACACACAAATCATTCAATTTAGGATGGAGATTTGAGCCAAAATTAGTGTTAAATACATAAAATACACTTAAGTGATTGATGTTGCTAATACTTTTATTACATTTAATTGTTAGCTTAAAAGTCAGCATCATGAACCCATTCGAAGTTAGCAATGCAATTTGACTTTTAATGAGAAACTCGCTTGATCTGTTTGGCTTGCCATTGAGCATAAAACACGTGCATATCGAGTACAAAAGGGAAACCTGTGATTTTTGCACCTTCAAATTCAGCTCAATTAAAAAATAAAAATAGGTTTATGATGGTTAGTGACAATGAAAACGGATTAATATCATTAAGATTTTTTGTAAAAGAATATCATTATATATATATTCATATACATATATTAATTTTTCATATTTGTCATGATGAGAAATTTTTATTAAGATTAAAATTTAACTACATTTATTTACTGCCGTGTATATATATATATATTATAAAAACTTAAAAAGTGTTGTTATTTAAATTTTTAAATTAGGGTTTTTACAATAATTAATAAAGTGTATTCGTTGTTAGTGTATATAATTTTTATTATTGTATTTTGATTAAAATATTACAAAAATTTGAATTGTGTAATCAAATGTGAAGAAGTGCTATTAAAAGGTAAAAAAAAACCTTTAAATATACTTTCAATAGCATTGTATGCATATAAAGTCAAAAGTCAAATTTGTTGTACAGTATAAACCTTAATCTTGATTTATGCTAATATATAGACACTTATTTACTAAAAAAATTGTTTCATTAATTGAACACCTAAGAAAATTTGTATCATTACTAAATCTCTAAGTAAAAAAAAAAAAAAAGACTTGAACACTTACGATTCACAAACTATTAAATTTAGAGGAAAATTTTATTAAAAAAATAAAAAGAATTATTTTCTCCCTTTATATAAAGTATGAACGAGAAAAAAACCATACATATATCAGCTAGAGAAAAAAAGTTTTTGTGGTTTCATGGTCGACAAATCCCTCAATAAGCACACCATGGTGGTGATAGTTAAATCGTTATATTGATCAAGAATATTCTACAATTTAATACTCACACTCGAATATTTTAAAATCTTGTAGAATTGAACTTAATTTTTTTATTGCATAATATTAATTTTAGATATATCACATGAAACATATCTTGAAGCAATTAGATTATTATTATTGTATTTAATTTGTTAAATGTCTAATTGAATTAAGTCACATTCAAAGATGTCGAGAAATAATATAACAAAGATTTTATTTGGAAATGTTTATATCCAAAACCTAATTTAAGCATGATAATGTTCAAATTCAATAAAATAATTTTGGTGACATATTTTATCTATATGATTCTATTAAATTGCATTTAAATATTATGTAGGATTTCAAAGTTATAAATAAAAATAAAATCAAAAGACCAATTTCTCGTCACTAAAAAGTTAAATAAATTAATGAAAATTTTATTGAAAGAAAATCTTTAGAGAGAAGATGAGTCATAATTTTTGAATTTATAATTTTTGAGATATAATTGTCTTGTTTGTAAGCAGATTATTTTTTTGAATTAACTGAATAAATAAAATAATAATTTTACTTTAATTTTTTTTTAAATTATCCTTGAAAAAGTAGCTTAACATTTTCCCTTTCAATTTTGATATAATTATTATAGATTTAGAAGGAAAAAAAAGAAAAAAAAACCAACAAAGACACCATTCCTAAAATGAGAGAGAAAGAAGCAACAGATTTCTATTGAAAAGATTCCTGAGCCTTTTCTTCGCTAATTATAAATCCCATCCACTTCCTTGGCAAAGCGGAAGGCAATGGTTGGGCGTCTGAGTCTAGGAGGTTGCGCTTGCACATGCGATTCAGATAATCTTCGTTAACATTTTTTTAAAATTTTTTTTAAAATCACCGACTCTTTATCCGTTAAACTGACGCTAAATTGACCGTTTGTCAAACAGTCAACGCTATTTAATCCTTCGCAGTTTCTTGATAGAGAAGGCTGAACCCAAACCTCAATACACTGAGCCCGCCATGGCTGTTTTTGCCCCTTAGTCATCTGCTTTCTCAAGCCCCACGCTTCTCACATTCTCTCTCCTGCTCGTCGCCAAGCCGAAGGTCGCTATCCTTCTCAACACATCACGACCATTGAGCCGCCGCTGCTTCAGTCGAGCAACCGCCTCTGCGGTTAAAACTTCTTCAATACAACAACATTCATCGACAAACGCCGGCGACGAGCCCCAACAAGCTTCTGATATCACATTTCAACAACCATTCAAAGACTCCAGGTTCCAAGAGCTACTACCTCGCCTTCCCCTTAGTAATCCCCTTGCTCAAGCCCCACGCTTCCCACCTTTTCTCTCGTACGCGTCTCCAAGCCGAGAGCTATCCTTCTCAATGCACCACCACCGTTCGGCCGCCGCTGCTTCAGTTGAAAAGTCGCCTCGGCGGTTAACACTTCTTTAATTCAACAATATTCCTCAACAAACGTCAGCGATGAGCCGCCGAAAGCTTCTATTCTCACATTTCAACAAGCCACTTAAAGGCTTCAGGTTCCAAGAACTAGTACTACTCACATTCCTTTATAACCATTTTTACACTGTTATTGTTTTTGCAGCATTTTTTTTTTCAGATTTTCATATATTTTATTGTTGAGCAACTTTCATTTGTTGAATTGCAAGGGCACCTCATTCATCAGGAGAATCTAGACCTCATGTGTCAAGAAAATACTGAAAGAAGGTACTGGCCTAGATAATTTGATAATTGCTAAGAATTTCCCATATTCACCTATTACTCACGCTTCCTTTACAACTCTTTTCCTTGGTTCTCATGAAAGTAATAGCACCAAAGTCTGACAAACCTAATACCAGTAGGCCAAAACGCCTATGAATAATCGTGGAATTGAAACAAATGAACAATTTTCCTCTTGATACTTCTAAAGAGCTCAATTTTGGGTCTCAGGTTTATGGAACAAGGGAAGCAAATGAAGCTAGCAGAAGCTCACATCGAAATTATACTTTGAACAATGGATATGATTTGCACGCACCTGTTCATATCCAATTAAGCCAGCCCCAACCTCCTTGCAAGGATAGTCACCATTTCAGAACGATACCCCTTATAGCTCAGTACCTTCACTGTTTTCAATTCTCTGGGTGATGACACCAAAGGTCCAATACAAAGGGTATATAATTTCATCTGCATTCCATACGCATGATTAGAATAATTAATTTTGGACAGCCAGATAAAGAACGGTTCTCGTGCTTGGTGCAGAGGGAGCCTCTGGTGCTGTTACTATTACACTTTATTGTTTTAAATTATTTTTTAAACAACGAAAATCAGTATAATTGTTGCTAATTTTGTAGGAATATCGGGCATCGGTTCGATATGCAGTAGCGCAATGCCGCAACATATAAGTAATGTAATAGTAATGGCCTAATTCATTGCTATAATTGTTTTTACCATTATATTCTTCTACTTTCGTTTTTGGTAGAAGGTTTTGATTTTTAAATTCTTGTCAATTGCTAATTTGTTTCATTAGGTTTTGTTTGTAATGATCAGGTTAGAGTTGGGACTATGAATGCTTTGACATTCTTAATACTTCTTGGGCCAGAACCATGGAATGTTGTGTAAGTCTTTCGAAGCAAGTTTCTATAAGTTAAAGAATATCTTGTACATTTCAATAATTCTTTTTGTGTCTAAGTCTGTTTTTTGATGATTATTTGTTGAGAACACTTTTCTTCGTGTGCTTTATGTATGAGCTTAAATATAGGGGGGAGGTTAAATGCGTTATTGGATGTTTTAGGTTCTGGCTGTTTGGCCCGTGATGCATGGACTTTCATCCATTTTCAGTTATGTTTTCTTCCAGTTATTTATTTTGTTGTTGTTGTGCATTATTGTTTGCTTTTGCACAATCATGCATGAGGACTTTTCATGCTTATTAGTAATGGAAAATGCAAAGTTTGCAGAAGCTTCTCTGATTAACTTATTTAATATGCTATCATACTTCATTAGAATTTTGTTGAATTCATTCAAGGTGCAAGAGAGCATTTTATTTTTTGAAACTCATGATGGATTTGAGTGGTTACTTAAGGTGAAAACCACTTTGTGTTGTTTAGAGAAAAAAAATAAATAAATTTTAAGGGTGTGGCATGTGGCATTCCTATTATACATTAGGTATAATGGTGCCTATATGTGAATCTTATCTAGTTTTATGGTGCATTCCTATAATTTGATCAAAGGTATTATGGTTCAAAATACATAATGATAGATTTGTTATGGCATTCTTAATGTGTAATAAAGGCACAATGGTGCTTATGTAACATATACTTTATGTGATAATTTGACACTCCAATTGTTCATTAATGTACAATGATGTCCATTGAGAATTTTGTTTTTTTAATCATGACCACATGAAATTGTTTCATACTTATGATGGATTTGGTTGGTTAGTTACCTTAAGGGTGAGAACTGCTTTGTGGTGTTTAAGAAATAAAAAAATTGTAAAGTGTAAGCATGTGGCATTCCTGTTTGTATTAAGATATAATGGTGCTAATATGTGAATATAACATTTTGGTATATGGTGCATTCTTATTATTTAATTCAAGGTATTTTGGTGCAAACTATATATTAATATATTTGAAGTGGCATTCCTATTGTGTAATAAAGGCACAATGGTGCTTACATGAACATATAGTATCAATTGACAATTCCTTTTGTTTCATACTCATGATGGATTTGGTTGGTTACCTTAAGATGGGAACCACTTTGTGGTGTTTAAAGAAGTAAATAAACTATAAGGTGTGGGTATGTGATATTCCTATTATACATTAAGGTATAATGGTGCCATTATATAAATCTAATATCTTTGTATATGGTGCATTCTTGTTTTACCATTGAGGTATAATGGTGCGAAATAGATATTAAATATATTTGACATGGCATTCCTATTGTGCAATAAAGGCACAATGATGCTTATGTGAACATATATCTTTATGTTTTAATTAGACATTCCAATTGTACATTATGGTATAATGGTGTCTATATTGAGAATTCCATTTTTTTAATCATGACCACATGGAATTGTTCCATACACTTGTTGGATTGGTTGGTTAGTTACCTTAAAGGTCAGAACTACTTTGTGGTGTTAGGAGATATAGAAAAACTTGGTGTAGGCATAAGACATTCCTATTATAAGTTAAGGAATGACGATGTCAATTTGTGAATCTAGCATCTTGGTATATGGTTCATTCTTATTATTTAATCCAAGGTATGTTGGTACAAGATATTAATATATTTAAAGTGGCATTCCTATTGTGTAATAAAGGCGCAATGGTGCTTATATGAATATATAATATCAATTAAGAATTCTTTTTGTTTCATACTCATGATGGATATGGTTGTTGACCTTAAAGTGAAAACCACTTTGTGGTATTTGCTGAAGTAAATAAACTATAAGATGTGGACATGTGGCATTTCTATTATACATTAAGGTATAATGGTGCCGATATATAAATCTAACACTTTGTATATGGTGCATTCTTGTTTTACCATTGAAGGTATAATGGCGCGAAATAGATATTTAATATATTTTGACATGACATTCCAATTATGAAATTCCTATTGTGAAATAAAAGCACAATGGTGCTTATTTGAGCATATACCTTTATGTGTTAATTTGACATTCCGATTGCATATTAAGGTGCAATGGTGTCAATTGAGAATTTTTATTTTTAATCATGACTACATGGAATTGTTTCATACTTATGATGGATTTGGTTGGTTAGTTACCTTAAAGGTGGAACTTCATTGTGGTGTTCGGAAAAATAGAAAAACATTAAGGTATAAGCATGTAGCATTCTTATTATATATTAAGGTATAATAGTGTCAATATACGAATCTAATATATTAGTATATGGTGCATTCTTTGTAAATAATCTAAGGTATTTTGGTGTAAAATAAATATTTAATATATTTAAAGTGGCATTCCTATTACGTAATAAAAGCACAATAGTGCTTATGTGAATATACAAAATCAATTGAGAATTCCTTTTGTTTCATACTTATGATGGATTTGGTTGTTTAACTTGAGGTGACAACTACTTTGTGGTGTTTGGAGAAGGAAAGAAACTATAAGATGTGGACATGTGGCATTCTTATCATACATTAAGGTATATAGTACCGATATGTAAATCTAACAACTTTGTATATGATGCATTCTTGTTTTACCATCGAAGGTGTAATGGTATGAAATAGATATTTAATATATTTGACATGGCATTCCTATTATGCAATAAAGGCATAATGGTGCTTATGCTCCTTTTATGTGTTAATTTGACATTCCGATTATACATTAAGGTATAATGGTGTCAATTGAGAATTTTATTTTTTAAATTATGACCACTTGAAATTGTTTCACGCTTATAATGGATTTGGTTGGTTAGTTACCTTAAATGTGAGGACTACTTTATTGTATTTGGAGAAATAAAAAAACTTTAAGGTGTAGGCATGTGGCATTCTTATTTTATATTAAGGTATAATAGTACCAATATGTGAATTTAGCATCTTGATACATGGTGATTCTTATTATTTAATCCAAGATAGTTTGGTGCAAGATAGATATTTAATATATTTAAAGTGGCATTCCTATTATGTAATAAAAGTACAATGGTGCTTATTTGAATATATAGTACGATGGATTTGGTTGGTTAGTTACCTTGTGAGAAATACTCTGTGGTGTTTAGAGAAATTAGAAAAACTTTTAAGTGTAGGCACGTGGCATTCCTATTGTATATTAAGATATAATGGTGTCAAAATGTGAATCTAAAATCTTGGTGTATGGTGCATTCTTATTATTTTATCCAATGTATTTTGGTGCAAAATAGATATTTAATATATTTGAAGTGGTATTTTTATTGTGTAATAAAAGCATAATGGTGCTTATGTGCACATATAGTATTAATTAAGAATTCTTTTTGTTACATACTTATGATAGAATTTGTTGGTTACCTCAAAGTAAGAACCACTTTGTGGTATTTGGAGAAATAAAGAAACTATAAGATGTATGCATGTGGCATTCTTATTATATATTAAGGTATAATGGTGTCAATATGTAAATTTAATATATTTGTATATGGTGCATTCTTGTTTTACCATCGAAAGTATAATGGTGCGTAATAGATATTAAATATATTTGACATTACATTCCTATTGTGCCATAAAGGCACAATGATGCTTATGTCAACATATACTTTTATATATTAATTTGACATGCCGATCGTACATTAATGTATAATGTTGTTAACTAAGAATTTCATTTATTTAATCATGACCACATGAAATTGTTTCATACTTATGATGGATTTGGTTAGTTAGTTATTTTGAAAGTGAGAACTACTTTGTGGTGTTTGGAGAAGTAGAAAAACTTTAAGTTGTAGGCATGTGACATTCCTACTATATATTATAGTATAATGGTGCCAATAAGTGAATCTAGCATCTTGGTATATGACATATTCTTATTATTTAATCAAAGGTGCTTTGATGCAAAATAGTTATTTAATATATTTAAAGTGACATTCCTATTGTAGAATAAATGCACAATGGTGCTTATGTGAACATATAAATATCGATTGATAATTTTTTTTGTTTTATATTAATGATGGATTTGTTTGGTTACCTCAAGGTGGGAGTTGTACAAGTTCTTCGACCCCATCCCACTTGGAAATGATTTACTAATACGTCTTCTATGTGCAGGAAGATGGAGCAATTAGAAAGAGCAAAGCTTTCTTTGCTTGAGAAACTTGCGGACCTCCCAAAAGGGTTTTGCCAAGGTCCATGGCATGATTTTGTACTCCTCAATTTCCCTTCCTATCCTTCCTATTCCTGCTGCTGCCGCCATGGAAATAGTTTGTCTGATGAATCGACCAACCTCAGGTCGGACTTCATTTTTCTGTTTCATTGCTTCTGAATGTCATCTTTCACCGTTTTGTTAACTACTAGTATTATGTATTTTCAAAACATGCCAATCTTATTAATATATGGAAGCAACATAAGATCCAAAAGTACAATTAACGAATAGATTTTTATCAATTATATATAAATATGTTAAAACACTTGCATAATTTAAATTTTTGTGCATAAACCAATGTGTTGTGAACCTTTTCAGGTCAATTCAGGGGAACTGAAGTGCCTTCCCCCCACTTCTTTATCTCATCATGGTCTAACATTATCTTTATCTCTTATCTTCCTTTTCCCATAACTTTCTTCATGTTGTGCTTTGCTAATTGCTATGATAAAAAAAGAGTGGCCCACTCTAGAGAAGCCGTTAACCGTTTTGCTCGGGTATTTGAGAGTCCAAATCTCAAAACCGAAACTCTACCCGCCACTTTGATTTGAATGTAATGGGCTGGGCCTTAGCTGCAAACCAATTCTTTCGGACAAATCCATTTTGGAAATCAATTTAGCTTTTTGTACATAAAGTTTGGGTTAATTGGTTTATATTTTAACTGCTGTATTTTGATTACTATTAATTTAATCACATTTCATTTCATTAAGTGAATAATATTTGAATAATCATGTTTTAATGAGATAATAATCACACAATTTATGTATATGTTTAATGAATATTTTTAGCTTCATTTTCTGTGAATAATCATTGAATAATTGTCTTTATCCTATAAATATAATTATTTCTCTTCTAGACTTAAATTGTGTTCACTCTAGAATAAGATTATGACCATTTCTATTATTTAGATTTAAAAGATTTGGAATATGAAAAAGGACAGTTTGTAATTTGTTAGAATGTCTCGTACTTTTGATATAACGAATATATTAAAATCAAATAATTATTTTTGTATCACTAATTGAAACGAACAAAGCCTTTCGCTTTAGTTATAAATTCAACTAATGAAACCTCATTTTATTAAGTTTATTTGTTTTCACTTTTTCTTCAACCAAAAATGAAAATACAAAAGAAATAGTGAAAATTCAAGAAAATACAAAGAGAAAAATATTCCCAAATGTTTATGAGTACTTATTAGTCAATGATTTCAAATATAAGAAAAAACAGTTAGGAGTAGACCAAGGGCCTAGCTAACCACTTCCTTAAGGCTTACAGGCAACCGCCCAATTTTAAGCCAAGTCTGTTGGATGACGTTGCCTTATTTAAACAATCACGTGAAGGTCACGTGGCCTGACCTCTCGATCCCTCATCAACATTTTGAATTCGGACCTGAGCGCCTTTTCTCAAATCCAGTTCAATTATTAAATGCTTAAAAAATTGCCCCCATTTGCCTCGATCGTTCAAATTCCCTGTCCCTGCTTTGTCTCTTCTAAAATTCAAATTCTAACGTCTAAGAATCCAAAAACCAAAAAAAAAAAAAAAAACTCCATCTCCTTCCGGTATTCCCCTGTCAAATTAATCTTTTTTTGTCTTCACTTTTGTTTCGTATAATCTCCTCAGCTCAAGGATTTCATATCTGATGCATTTGATTTTGAGTGATTTACAAGATGTTTTGATGGTTTGATTATTTTCTTTTTCTTGATTTAGGGTTTTAGGTATCGTTTTAGATTTGGATCGTATCATATAGGAGATGGAGAACACGGAGTCCGTAAGAGTCGCCGTTAATATTCGGCCGCTGATTACTACAGAGCTTCTCAATGGATGCACGGATTGCATCACCGTTGTTCCTGGCGAACCTCAGGTATTGTTATTTTTTAAAATTTTCCGTGAATTTTTATTTTGAAATGGATATAGATGTTGATTTCTTAGATTGATAGAGACTCATTTTTAATTTTTTTTTGTTACAATTACAGGTTCAGATTGGGTCACATGCTTTTACCTATGATTATGTTTATGGGGGAGGGGGATCGCCGTCTTCAGCGATTTATGATGATTGCGTTGCTCTCCTTGTTGATGCAATTTTTCATGGTTATAATGCTACTGTACTTGCATATGGTCAGGTTAGTTTTATTATGTTCTAGTGAGTTCTTATTTTTCCTTTTAAATTATTAATTTCCTTTTATTTTTCATAAATTTTTATAATCGACTAATTATGTTGTTATATTTTTGTGTCGTTTAGACTGGGTCTGGTAAAACATATACTATGGGAACCAACTATACTGGGGAAGGAGGTAATGGTGGCATTATTCCGAAGGTCATGGAAACTATATTTAAACGAGTCGAGGCAACGAAACACTCCACGGAATTTCTGATAAGAGTATCATTTATTGAGGTAATTTAGTTTGATGAAAATAAATACTTATTTTTCTTAGTGATTAGGTAATGTGCTTATATATGGTATTCGGAATTGCCAGATTTTTAAGGAAGAAGTGTTCGACTTACTTGACTCAAATCCAGCTGCTTTGTCTAAAGTTGAAGGGGCGTCTCTTGCAAAGCCCACAGCTCCTGGAAGACTTCCAATACAAATTAGAGAAACAGTAAATGGAGGGATAACACTTGCTGGGGTGACTGAGGCAGAAGTTGCGACGAAAGAAGAGATGGCATCTTACTTGTTACGAGGTTCTTTATCTCGAGCTACAGGGAGTACCAATATGAATAGCCAATCAAGGTGAGCTTTTTTTGAAGCTATATGTTTTAGGAGTCTTTGCCTTTTGTTTTTTGTTTTCCACAATTAGTATTCTTTTTAAAATATTATGTTCAATTGTTATAAAAGCTTTTTATTTTTAGTAATAAAAGATACAAACAAGTTGTTCAATTGGCTTTTGTGTCGCTTTACTTATTTTTGGAGAAGGATAGAAAAATCTTCTGTTTACATGTTCAATGCAATAGATTTGTAAGGTTTTCATAATTATTTATCATGTAATTCTCTTATATTATGTAAACTTGTGCTTCTGTCAATTGCTATGTTCATTACACCATTTCCAGTCGTTCACATGCCATCTTTACAATAACTGTGGAGCAAAAGAAGATTGCCAGCTGCCCAAACGGGGTAATCAATGATGACATTGGTGATGATATCTTATGTGCAAAGCTGCATTTGGTGGACCTTGCTGGATCAGAACGTGCAAAAAGAACAGGTGCTGATGGCATGCGCTTCAAAGAAGGTATTTTTTTATTTTCTTATTTTCAAAGCCTCATGGACTAAAATAGTGATAAATTCTAATAGTAAGGCGCAAACATGAAACGTTATGCTTTATGTTATCTAAAAATTTGATATTTTGTTGTTGCAGGCATTCATATAAATAAGGGTTTACTAGCTCTGGGGAATGTGATTAGTGCCTTAGGAGATGAGAAGAAGAGAAAAGAAGGAGGGCATGTTCCATATCGTGATAGCAAGTTGACTCGCTTGTTACAGGCATGTTTTGACTTTCTGATTATTTATGAACAACCATTTCTATTAGTTGTTGTTTAATAGGATGCTTTCATTGCAATGAAGTAGACTGTTCAGAAAACTTAGAACAGCATAAATCAAATTGCTATTGATCAGTTGGCAATTTCTTTTAGGTTTAATACATTAAAATATATAATTAGTGTGCAATGCAGAGACTATTTGTTAAGCACTGAACCAATGAGAAGTGAGCTCATTACTTACTTCACATTTTAAAATGTAAAAACATTTATAGCTAGAAAATAGATGTTACCTACATCAAGCAAAAGGAGAACAAGTTCAGTATTCTTTTCTAAGACTTTTACTTGGATGTGGTGATATTATGTGTACTTTGTGTTTGCAATGAAAATAGTTTTAAATGTATTGGCTATAGTTCTCCATGTTTCGGAATTTAAATTTGCTGATGGAGATTTAAATTCTCAGGATTCTCTTGGAGGAAACAGCAAAACAGTGATGATTGGTAACTTTTTATATATTTGAGAGCACTAAATAGTTGTGTTATTGTTATCATTTCTTGCACCCAAGTTTCTGCTACAAATATCTGAGTATGCATAAGTATGATTTTTTATATCTTATTGTAGCTTGTGTTAGTCCGGCTGACACCAATGCTGAAGAAACCCTAAACACCTTGAAGTATGCCAATCGTGCTCGAAACATTCAGAACAAGGCAGTTGTAAGATACTTGTTTAGCATACTTGCAAGAAGTAAAGTTCTTCACGAAGTATTATAACTCTTGTTCTGACTATTTCATCCCTTATACTTGATTAGATAAACCGCGATCCAATGGCAGCTCAGTTACAAAGAATGCGGAGCCAAATTGAGCAATTGCAAGCTGAACTTTTGTTTTATCGTGGTGATGGCAATGGGTCATTTGATGAACTTCAGGTTACTATTTTGTATAGAGAAGTACAAACACATTCTTTGACTTTCTTACCTTAGTTGCTTAAAATTAGGCCCTTTTTTGTGATTCCAGATTCTCAAGCATAAAGTATCTTTACTTGAAGCAAACAATGCGGAGCTACAGCGAGAACTTCAAGAACGTAGACTCACTAGTGAACAATTAGCCCAACGCGCACTTGATGCTCAGGTGTTTTTCTATTTTTTGTCTTCAATTGTTTAGGTTTTATAAAATTCCTTTTTACTGGTCAATGGCGACCAATCTCATGTATATTTAATATTTCAGGTTGAGAAAGACAAACTGATGATGCAAATTGAATCAGTTCGTAATGGAAAATCATGGGACGAGATTGATTCTAATCAAAATCAGGTTAGGTCTTTGCCTAGTTATTGAATCTAGCAGTTGATAAATATAATCTTTAATTGGCAAGTGCTTTTGCATTATTGCAGGATTTTGATTTGATGAAAACTTATGTGTTGAAAATTCAAGAGTTAGAAGGAGAATTGATACGTTTGAAAAGCTTGAACAGCTCAAAACGTAGTCGTTTTTCTAATTGTGCTGAGTCTGATGACGATGGAGCCTCAAAAAATTCATTATTTTCTTCTGGAAATGATTATTCATCTTCAGGTAAATTAGGAAAGTATTTAACTATTAACTATTTGATACCTTGTTAGATGCTAACTCCTTTTGTTTGATAACATTTTTCTGTCAGTTGATTCTAAGATGTTTTAAATAGTTATTACAATTTTAGGAAAGTAATATACATATAATTTTCAACTCTCCAAAGTTATTCTTAATATCTCTCTATCATCTTTTGTCTTGCTTGCAAAATTTCATATACAGGTTAGTATAAAAACCTCATTAAGGACTAATTTTAATGCTTTTGATGCATTGATGCCTGCCACAATCATATTGGCTTCCTTGTGATTATTGTTTAGGGTGCATATATAGTTAACTTAATTCTGATATGAGACGACGTCGTTTAAGCCTTTTACATTTATATCTTTTCATCTCTGTTAATCTTCCATTCTCTGTTCAACTTTTTAAGATCTTATCATCGAGTGATAGCAGATAAGAGTATTCTTTCTTCATATGCAGATGAGATTGAGGATAATGAAAAGGAGCTAGAGCATTCCTCTCTCCAAGAAAAATTGGACAAGGAACTTAAGGAATTGGACAAAAAACTTGAACAGAAAGAGGTATATGTTGCTTAGGTCATTAAGCAAAAATCTTAATTTGGCTACCCAGTGTCTTTTTTCATTTTACATTTCTGCTAGAGGTTCAAGAATTTT